GCTGGCCACGGTGCTGGCGTCGGTGCTGGTGTAAGCGCTGACGACGGTGCTGGCGTAGGCGCTGGCGTCGGTGCTGGCGGCGGTGCTGGTGTAGGCGCCAGCGTTGGTGCCAGCGGAGGCGCTGGGGTCGGTGTTGGCGCCGGTGCCGGCGTCGGTCCTGCTGCAGGCGCTTGCGTAAGTGCCGGCGTAGGCGCAGGCTTTGGTGCTGGCGTAGGCACAGGCGTTGGTGCTGGGGTCAGTGCTGGTGAAGGTGCTGGCGTTGGTGGTGCCAGTGCAGGCGCCAGCGTGAGAGCTGGCCACGGTGCTGGCTTCGGTGCTGGTGGAGGCGCTGGCGTTGGTGCTGGCGTAGGCGCTGGCGTCGGTGCTGGCGTCGGTGCTGATGTAGGCGCCAGCGTTGGTGCCAGCGTAGGCGCTGACGTTGGTGCTTGCGTCGGTGCTGGTGCAGGCGCTGGCGTTGTTGCTGGCGTAGGCGCAGGCGTTGGTGCATGCGTAGGCGCTGGGGTCGGTGCTGGCGTCGGTGCTGGCGTCAGTGCTGGGTGAGACGCTGGATTTGGTGCTGGCGTAGGCGCTGGCGTTGGTGCTGGCGTCACTGCTGGTAAAGTCGCAGGCGTTGGTGCTGGTGCAGGCGCCGGCGCGAGAGCTGGCCACGGGGATGGCGTCGGTGCTGGTGTAGGCGCTGGCGTTGGTGCCAGCGTAGGCGCAGGCTTTGGAGCTGTCGTCGGTGCTGGTGTAGACGCCAGCGTTGGTGCTGGCGTCGGCACTGGCGCTGGTGCTGGCGTCGGCGGTGATGTAGGCGCTGTTGGTGCCAGCGTAGGCGCCAGCGTCGGTGCTGGCGTCGGTGCTGGTGTAGGCGTTGGCGTTGGCGCCGGCGTCGGCGCTGGGGTCGGTGCTGGCGTCGGTGCCGGCGTCGGTGCTAGCGTAGACGCAGGCGTTGGTGATGGTGTAGTCGCAGGCGTTGGTGCTGGCGTTGGTGCTGGTGCAGGCGCTGGCGTTGTTGCCCGTGCAGGCGCTGGCGTGAACGCTGGCGTCGGTGATGGTGTCATCGTTGGTGTAGGCGCTGGCGACGGTACCGCCCCAGGCGGCGTATGCGCGAAGTTGGCGTTAGCGTCAGCACTGGTGCGGGCGCCAACGTTGGTGCCAGAGTAGGCGCCGAAATCGGTGCTGGCGTCGGTGCTGGCGTCGGTGCTGGTGCAGGCGCTGGCGTTGGTGCCGGCGTATGAGCGGACGTTGGTGCTGGCGGCGGTGCTGGTGTCGGCGCCAGCGTTGGTGCCAGCGTTGGCGCTGGCATCGGTGCTTGCGTCGTCGGTGCTGGCGTCGGTGCTGCTGCAAGCGCTTGCGTTGGTGCCGGCGTAGGCGCTGGCGTTGGTACAGGCGTAGGCGCTGAAGTCAGTGCTGGCGTTGGTGCTGGCGTCGGTGCTGGCGTAGATGCTGGCTTCGGTGCTGGCGTAGGCGCAGGCGTTGGTGCTGGCGTCAGTGCTGGTGGAGGCGCTGGCGTTGGTGCCGGTGCAGGCGCCGGCGTGAGAGCTGGCCACCGTGCTGGCGTCGGTGCAGGTGTAGGCGCTGACGACGGTGCCAACGTAGGCGCTGGCGTCGGTGCTGGCGTCGGTGCTGGTGTAGGCGCCAGCGTTGGTGCTAGCGTAGGCGCTGACGTCGGTGCTTTCGTCGGTGGTGGCTTCGGTGCTGCTGCAAGCACTTGCATGGGTGCCGGCGTAGGCGCTGGCGTTGGTACAGGGGTAGGCGCTGAAGTCTGTGTTGGCGTCGGTGCCGGCGTCGGTGCTGGCGTCGGTGCTGGTGTAGACGCTGGCATTGTTGCTGGCGTGGGCGCAGGCGTTGGTGCTGGCGTCAATGCTGTTGGAGGCGCTGGCGTTGGCGCTGGTACAGGCGCCGCTGTGCGAGCTGGCCACGGTGCCAGCGTCGGTGCTGTCAGAGCTGGAGTCGTACCTGGCGTCGGGGCAATCCGAGCTGCCGTCATTGCTGGCTTCGGTGCTGATGGAGGCTCTGGTGCCGGCGCAGGTACTGGCGTGGAAGCTGGCGCCTGTGCTGTCAGGGCTGGAGTCGTAGCTGGCGTCGGGGCAGTCGGAGCTGCCGTCGTAGCTAGCTTGGGTGCTGGCGGAGGCTCTGAAGCTGGCGCAGGTACTGGCGTCGTAGCTGGCGTCGGTGCTGTCAGAGCTGGATTCGCAGCTGGCGTCGGGGCAGTCTTCGGCGCTGGAGTCGGCGCTGGCGTCGTAGCTGGAGTCGGCGCTGGCTTCGTAGCTGGCGTCGTAGTTGGAGTCGGCGCTGGCGTCGTAGCTGGCGTCGGTGCCGCCGGAGTTGGAGTCGTAGCTGGCGTCGTAGCTGGAGTCGGCGCTGGCGTCGTAGCTGGCGTCGTAGCTGGAGTCGGCGCTCCGGTGCTGGCGCCGTAGCTGGCGTCGGTGCTGCCAGAGTTGGCGTCGTAGCTGGCGTCGTGGCTGGTGTCGGCGCTGGCGTCGTAGCTGGCGTCGCAGCTGGTGCCGGCGCCGGTGTCGTAGCTGGCGTCGGTGCTGCCAGAGCTGGAGTCGTAGTTGGCGTCGTAGCTGGAGTCGGCGCTGGCGGCGTAGCTGGCGTCGCAGCTGGAGTCGGCGCTGGCGGAGGCTTTGGAGCCAGCACTGGTGCTGGCGACGTAGCTGGCATCGATGCTGCCAGAGCTGGACTTGTAGCTGGCGTCGTCGCCGGAGTCGGCGCTGGCACTCGACCGATATGCTGCTCGACTCCGTCTTTGCAGACGCCGTAGTAGAGCTTGACTCCATAGAACTGATTACCGACGTACTGTTTGAATCCGTCGTTGCGGACGTCTTGTGCGGGGTTGGCCCCATCAGAATCCTGAGGCGAGTCCGGCCATGACGACGAAGGATGTTTTTGAAGCAATTGGGTCGGCTCGGATCCCGTCCGACCGCCCTGGGATGCCGAACACGAAGGCTCCTCTCCACCAGCGAGGGCGCCCCTTTCACCAGGCGGGCCGACCTGTACTGACATCTGTTGAGACAACTGGGTCGGCTCGGATCCCGTCCGACCGCCCTGGGATGCCGAACGCGAAGGCCCCTCTCCACCAGCGAGGGCGCCCCTTTCACCAGGCGGGCCGACCTGTCCGAATCGGTTATCTTCATCTTCCCCGTGGTCAATTCCCCCTGGAGTCGGCGCTGGCGTCGAAGCTGACCTCTGGGCTGATGGGTCAGAAACCCTCTCCTTGCAGATTCTGCTCTAACTCCAGAGCTTTTCTGTCCTGGTCTGATGGGTTCAACCCCCTGCCCGCATCCTTTAGATTCCACATAAAACGACGCCAATTGAAAACAGTCAACTGGAGGGGCTTGTCGCCCGTTAGTCCTCTCAGCTTTCCCCATACTACTGTGCCTTCCGAGATGGTAAGGTCACGGTTCGCCCGCGCGCAATGCCCGAACGCATCTGTTTGTGCAGCGTAGTGGTGTGGCTGGTACATGGCTCACAGTATGTGACTGGCGTATCGCGCGATTTCTCATGCATCCCTACTGCCCGCCAGCGGTCCCAATGGTTTCTTTGGTCGTACTGCTACTCGCACACACTGCGGTGTTCATTGGCGCGTTGGTGCTCGGCAGCGCGATGTTGCTCACAAGCCGTGCAGGCGTTCACAAGCTCTGTTGTGCTCATATGCCACATGCGCTGTGACGATCACATGCAGTGGACTGCTGAGCCTGGCGTGCTCATCTGTATTTGTGGAATCGCAAAAGCTGTGGTGGTCATAAGTGTGGTGGTGGTCCCAAACCGTGTTGCGCCCGCAAAGAATTCGCCTCGACTCCGCCTTCGATGCGGTTGAATTTCTGTCCCTTTCCTCTTCCTTTTGCTCTCCCTCATCCTCCTCCTCTTTTGTGTCCTTCCAGCCGTCATCGTCTTTCCCTTCCTAATCCCCGTCGTCTTCTCCACCCCTCTCAGTCTCAGGCCCTGCAGTATGCACGGGCCATTTGTTTACACGAGCTCGTGATTGTGATGTGCACTGCCGTGCGCCTTTGGTGTGCGCAGGACTGCGCCAGTGCGTACATGAGCCGCCTGCCTGCGGTTTGCACAGGCCGGTGTGCCTTTGCATCTGTGTGGTTGTGTGTTCAGATGTGCACACAGGATTTGGGCGTACGCATGCCAGGTGGTGTTCGCAGGCCCTGCGGTACACACAGGCCGCGCAGTGTGCACAAGCCTTGTGGTTCACCCAAGCCGTGCGTTTGTTATGTGCAACGGCCAGTGTGTGTGTGTGTGTGCTTTGGCGAGCGCCTCTGGTGTGCGCGTGCGGCAGCGCAGGCCTGTGGTTTACACTGGCCTGCGCTGGTAGTGTAATCGCGCGCGGCCACTGGCGTACCCAAGAACTGTGGTGTACACAGGCACTGTGGTGCACACAGGCGATGTTCGTCAACTCATCTCGCTGTGATTCAGCACTGTCGCCGCGATGTGCTCTTCCTACGAGGAATCGCGGGCCGAAACGTCAGTGGCGGCGCGCAGAAGGCGGTGGCCCGGGGGCCTTTGAGGAGGGCATGACTTCTTAAAAGCCCTCCTGGTTTCTCAGACACCGTCCTCGAAGAGTCGGCTCCATTCTAAGAAGGCTATGCCTTCTTGGATGCCCCCCCTCCCCCGCCCCCTTCTGCGCGTCAGCCAGAGCGTCTGCCGCTGGCGATGCGCCGAAGGCCCGCGCGGGGACTCCGGCTCTCCGCAGGCAGCGCGGTGGGCCGGGCCTGCGCCCGTGCCGTCGGGACGAGGATGACGAGGATGAGGGGGGGGGCGGGGGCGCAGAAGGAGAGAGAGAGAGAGAAAACAGTCGGACAGGGGGAGGAGGATGAGGAGGAGGAGGGCGAAAGGGGGAGGAGCAGGGTGGAAGAAGAAGAGGTGAAGGAGGAGAAGGAGGAGGATTTGTTGCCAGGAACCGCTGCCAACTAAACCGTAGCCATTTTGGCTCAAGCCGCTCTGGCTCAAGCCGCCAGCCCCCCCTTTCTCTATTCCTGCTCATTGTCCTTTTCACCTCTACTCCGATGTCCTCTGGCCACGTGGTGCTGGAGGGCAAGATGGCCGGAGGAGTGGCTACGGCCGCGGGGAAGGGCACGGCAGGGCGCGACGCCCACGCCGTGCGGAGCCCCGCCTCCGCCTTGCGACTCGCGCGGCGGGGGAGGCAGGAGGCGGCTAAGGCGAAGCAGTGCGGAGTGCGGTCGACGTTGGAGAAGCGCATCAGAGAGCTCGAGAGCCAGCTGGAGGCTGCCACGAAGGAGCTGGGGCGCCTTGGCCTCGCGCAGCAAGGAGTGGGCGAGCTCGGAATCCAGACCCAGACGGACCTCAAGCTCCACCATTTCGAGGTCAGTAGGTTGGACAACGACGATGTGGCGGACTACGAGCGGGAGTACTTCGGAACGCTGGGCCCTGACCAGACGGACGCTCCGGAGGTCGGCAGTGGCGAGCAGGGCAGCGACCTCGAAGAGGAAGGGATCATCGTTCCGGACACTGACGTGCAGGGCAGCGACCTCAAGGAGGGCGGCAGCGGCGACCAGGGCATCGACGTGCACGGCGGCGACCTCCTCCTGAAGGACGGCATCGGCGTGGAGGGCGATGGCCTTAAACAGGACATGGTCGTCACGGAGTGCGCCAGCGGGCAGGGCGATGACCGCATCGAGGGCTACATCGAGAATGGCGCTGGCGTGCTCGGCGGCGACCCCGAGGAGAACGGGATCGACGCGCGGGTCACCGGCGGGCCGGGAGTCGTCTTCGCCGAGAGCACCGCTCTCAAGGAGGACGGGGTAGGTATTCAGGGCATCGACGCGCAGGGCAGCGGATCTGATTTGGCGATTGGGTCAGGCGCTGCAGCCGGAGGGCCAAGAGCTTTCGATTTGATGAACTGATAATTACCTCGAGCTGTTGGGCGGCAGGCCGGAGCAGGCTTCGCAAGACAAGTGGGTGCACAAGTGGAAGGGCCAGATGTCGTTCCTCACAGACTACGACGACGGTACAGTCGTCGCCGGCGGGGTGTACTTGGAGATGGTTGACCGTATCAAGGGCGCCCTCATGACGGCAGCCAACCCCAAGGATGTGTTGGTGCACGTTGAGGCGATCGCCAAAGAAGTTCAGAGGTTGGCAGAGGTCCACATAAAGTTAGGGCGGAGAGCAGAGGCGCGGCGACTCATCACGGACGGTCTCGGCTTCGCGAGGCTCTCGGAGAATCTGGCTGGGAGATGACAGTGAGCAGCGTAGCAGGTTGGCCTCATTCTCTGCTTGCTGTTCTCACCCTCCCCCCCTTCCTTCCCCCTCCGCTGCAGCCGATCGCTGCCGCCGAGCGCCGCTAGGTCGGTCTGTTTTCTGCCGCCGGGCGCCGTTACGACGGAGTTGCCGTTATTTTCGTCACATCCCCCGTGCTGGCGCCCACAGCGGCGCATCAGCGCGACTGTCCCCCGCTCCGCAAGAGCGGCCGCTCGCCTGGAGTCCCGACCTGCCTGAATGGGTAGAGCCGAAGCTGGTGCTGCTGCTGCTGCTGCTGCTGCTCCTCCTCCTCCTCCTCCTCCTCCTCCTCCTCCTCCTCCTCCTCCTCCTCCTCCTCCCCTCCCCCTCCTTTTGCATGTTCTGTCGTCGTTCTATGCTGGCTGTCGCCAGGTCCGCCCACGTAGAAGCTTCTGCGCCGGCCTGCCTGGCCGCGGCACGCCGTGCGGCGTCGATGGAGGAATTCGTTTGCTCCTCCGCTCCTTCCCCCTCCCCCCCCTCCTTCCGCCCACCCCCTCTTCTTCGCCCTCCCTTTCTTGTGCAGGTGGGTCCGAGGCTTCGCTTAGGATCCTTTGTCCGTCCCCTAGCGGGGTCGGGGCTGCTCTCCCCCTCTGTCCCCCCGCTTTTCCTCCTCCTCCTCCTCTTCCCTCCCCTCCCTCTTTTTCCCCCTCCCTCGCCACTCTCTTGACATATGTTCCGTGGTTTTCCGCTGCATGGGCAGGACCGGGTCGACCTGCTTGCACTTGGTCTTTAGTCATTTTCCTTATGCTTCACTATCTTGGGGATAGTGTCAGCACTCTCTTGATATGCTGTGAGTCCAGCTCTCTCTTCTGGCTGCCCCGTCCCGACAGATGAGGCGCCATGCATTTTGCCTGGTCCTTTGAAATGCTAGGAGGTTCCTGCCGCGAGTGTCTGATGCACGAGTTATGTCGTGCGGCTCGGAGGAGCTGCTGCGCTCCCAGCGGGTGTTGGACCTCCCGTGGTGGCAGTGCTGCTTGTTCGTAGTTTTGATTGTCCCTTTCCTCCTCCCCTCGTCTCGCCCTGCTCCCGGCGCAGCGCCGATACATTTTCGTGTGAATTCGTATCGTTATAACTGCCCGAATTTCCGCCCCATCCCCGACCGTTCGCCTGGGCAATCATTGCCACAGGTGGCTCCTCTTGCTAGTGCTGGCGCTTTCAACAGGCAGCGCATGCGGTGTGGCAGCCTTTGAAGCTTCGCGGCGGTTATCCATCTCCCCCCCAAAAAAAAACGAGGACAACATCGATGATTAGCAGACAAGTTTAGGCGAATCAGTGGTGTCAGGTAATGTAAAATTCATTCCTCGTAAATCCCACGTGAGGATGACGAGGCAAACTGACGAAACACCTCCGTGGGCAAGTCGGGAAACTTCAGCAGACCCAAACTGCGGCTAGGCTTCGGTCCTGGGGGGGGCGGGGGAACGGTAATGCTGATACTGGTGATGCTGCTGCTGATGATGGCGATGCATGTGAAAAAGATGATGCCGATGCTAAGGATGACGATGATGACGATGGTGGTAACGATCATGCTGATGACCATGGTGTGCGTGATGATGATCATCATCATGATACTGATGAGGATGATGCTGATGACGGTGCTGAAAATGGTAACGATGCGTATGAGGGTGATGGTGTTTTTGATGATGATGATGATGACGATGATGATGATGGTGGTGGTGGTGGTGTGAATGACGAAGGTGATGTTGCTGATGATGCTACTGGTCATGATGATGTGATGATGATGCTGATGACGATGGCGATGACAGTGCTGATGATGATGCCGATGGAGATGCAGATGCATATTATGATGATAATGATGATGCTGATGATGATGCTGATGACGAAGACGACGATGTGACGACCACGGCGATGACGACGGCGATGATGATGATATTACTTATGATGATAATGATGATGTTGCTGCTGTTGTTGTTGATGATGATGATGATGATGATGATGATGGTGGCGCTGCTGGTGATGATGATGGTGATGATGTTGACGGTGATTACGATGATGATGCTGATGGTGATGATGATGATGAGGATGATCGTGGTGGTGATGATGATGATGATCAGAAAGAGTAGGAGTATGAGGAAGAGGATACTGATGAAGAGATGGAGGACGAGGAAGAGGAGGAGGAGGAGGAGGAGGAGGAGGGGGAGGAGGAGGACGAGGATAATGATGATGATGATGATGATGATGATGATGACGGTGATGATGGTTGTGCTAATGCTGATGTTGATGCCGGTGCTGCATTTGCTGATGCGGATCCTCATGCGGTTGCTGATGCTGACAACGACGATACGACGACGACGCTGGCGACGACGATGATGATGCTGATGGGTGACGATCATGAGGTGGAGGTTGATATTGATGCTGATGGTTTTGGTGTTGATGATGGTGGTGATGATGATGAGGATCACGAAGATGCTGATGATGTTGCGGATGATGCTGTGGATGCTGAGGATGATGATGATGTTGCTGCTGATGATGACGACGATGATAATGATGATGATGCTGATGATGAGGTTGATGATGATGATGCTGATGCTGATGATGATGTTGCTGATGGCGATGCTAGGGGGAGGAGGCGGAGGAGGAGGAGGAGGAGTAGGAATAGATGAGGAGGAGGCGGAGGAGGAGGAGGAGGTGGAGGAGAAGTAGGAAGAGGAGGAAGAGCGCGAGGAGGCGGAGAGGAGGAGGGGCAGGAGGAGCAGGAGGAGGAGGAGGAGAAGCAGGAGGAGGAGGAGGACGAGGAGGACGAGCAGGAGGAGGAGGAGTGGGTGGGGGAGCAGGGCGAGGATGGGGGGGAGGAGGAGGACGAGGAGGAGGAGGAAGGAAGAAGAGGAGGAGGTAGAACCAGGGAGGAACCTGAGGGTGCGGTCGAGGAAGTGGACGACGACAGAGGGGACGGACGGGGCGGTGGAGGATGAGGAGGCGGGAGAAGAAGAGCAAGAGGAGGAGGAAGAAGGGGAGCGAGGCACGGCCTGGCAGCTGAGGTGTAGATTGCATGCCTGGGCGGCGGCCCTGCTTTCGCACGGGGGGGCCCTGGGCAGTTCCCGCACTCGGGAGCCTCCCAGTCGGCCGCCGCTAGCTTTACAGTGGGGCTGGCAGGAGGGGGGCGAGGAGAGAGGATGAGCGGGATTGAGGAAGAGGAGGAGGAGGAGGAGGAGGAGGAGAGTAAACCCAGCATCCATTAACGAAGTTGCAACGCACCCTTCCGCCTCAAGTTCCCGCTTCTTATTCCTTTCCACTACGGAAGAGAATTCTCTTGGACTGACGAGCGTTTGGTGCACCTGCCACTCAGGCGAGACTACGTTATGTAAATGATCCGCGCTTCATCGTCATCAAAATAAGTGCCAAGAGGCACGATGCTAGCGTCCAGCGATCCCCCTGGTTTACGCATCTGCCTTCCATTCGTGTAAAGTGTTACATGTTGAAAATATGGTCATCAAATCTGCGGAAGTCTCAGGCGAGAACTCGATTTTGAAAAGGAGCCGCCCGACATCTGTATCTCGTCAACATGATGAAGCAACAAACGCTGTTTTGTTTCAGAGTTCGAGCAACTCTCAGACGACAGCCGCATTTTGAAAACGAATCTGCCTCCATCCGTGTCGCTGTTGTACGTTTTTCGGACAAGTGCGCGTGGCGCGAACGCGAGAGGGCACTTTGAAATCTGCCCCTCTTACATCCGTGTAGCTGCTCATCTTTAAGACGAAAGAGCGCGGCGCTAAGGTGAGAGACGCATAAAACATAGAGCCCGCTTCCTTCGTTGTCGTTGTCGGATTTGTTTCAAACAGATGCGCGCGGCGCTAAGGCTGTAGGCGTATGTTGAAAAAACGACTGGCCCTCCATACTCATCATTGTTGTAAATGTTGGGGTCTTGTTAGCCTCAGGATGATACAATGAGGGTGAGGACGTGCGAAACGGGACGCCTGAGCTGGTCTATGAGCACGGCTTGTGGTGCGACATGGGCAGTTACTTCATGTTCATTGATATGGAAGCGAGATGAACGAGGAGAGGGTGGAGGAAGATCGTGTCACAAAAGACGCTACCCTAGACAGCTAAGGGATTGGGGGGGAGCGCGGGGGGAACGCTGCTCCTGCTCATAGGATAGGCCCGCGCCCGCGGGGCGGGCGCGGGACGCATTCACCGCGCCGCCGCGCCCTGCGGGTGCGCGCGGGTGCAGCGACCCCCCGCGACCAACCCCAACCACAGGAGTGGCGAAGGGTGAGGCAGAACAAGACAATGCCGCCAGAGCCGCGTGACGACGCGCGCGCGGAGCGCGCCGGCCGCCGCGCTGAATTGCGGTGTCACACACTTCGCCTCCAGCAGACGCAACAACTTGTACCTTTCTCGCGACGCTAGGTCGGCAACATCCTTCGCCGACGGCACTCGGTCAAAAAGTACCACAACTCAGAAATATTTCGCGAGTGGTCCCAAGCAGAAGAGCGGCCACTACGCGCTGCTGCCTCCGCGCCAACGTTGTCTGACCATATGACAACTCGACGGTTTGCCAACCATTCGCTGAGAGTAGCCAGCCCTAGCGCTATAGCAAGTCATTCAAGCGCCAAGATCTGGGAGTCGCTGCGCGGTTCCAGATCCATCAGCAAGCCGTCGTCTGGAGGAACGTCGGTCCAAAAGGCGAGACCGTCCATGAACAAAACGGCGGCGAGCTTCGGCGCGGACCCGCCTCGGGCATCCGCAGACAAATGCGCCTCTCGAGGCTGTGACCGCGTCCACGGCTTGGCCCGGTGGGCTCCGAGGTCCAACGCGTCTGCCCACCAGGAAATCGTGAGGGACAGCGGTCCACGGACCTCGCCACGCCGCGAATGCTGTTGTGAAAATAGAGGTTGGAGCATCGCGCGCCCTAGCCTTTCGAAGCAGCGTTGTCCAGCCCAGCTCAGGGCGCCAGCCAATTTGCTGGCCTTAGCGGCGCAAAAGTTCCCACCGTCGAGCGCCTG